CTTGAGGCCGAATGTGATGCGTCTCTTCTCCTCATCTACCGAGAGAATCTTGGCCTTGACCACATCACCCTCATTGTAAAGCTTGCGGGCATCCTCAACAGGCTTCTCTGCCATCTGACTGCGATGGCACAGGCCACTGACGTTGAGGGAGTTGTCGACCACGATGAATGCACCAAATTCTTCGACCTTGCGTACTTTTCCAGTGACGATCTGGCCCTCCTTAACGTCCTTGTACGTCACAGGTGGCGTGTAGTCGTTCTCAACCACGGAGGACTTGAGACTAAGCTCGACTTGGCTGGTAGCAGTGTCGACATTGATCACTCGGCCCTTCACTAGTTGATCAACTTGGAAGTTGCCCTTCCAGTCCTTAATGTAACGATCAGACAAGTTGCCAATCTTGACCAAAGCAGAGACGTTTCCGCCAAGTTGCACAAAGACACCCTTGTCAGTCACGTTCTTTACAAAACCACGGATAATGTCTCCAGAGGCAATCTGAGACACCCTGGTGATTTCGCGATCCGCGACAGGCGATGTGGAACTAAGAATGCGGGAGGGTCTGGTTGACAATCTCAGTCTCTTGTCGCTCTTGTCGACCTCCACCACGGAGACGCGGACGATTTCGCCCTTGTTGTACTTGAGAGTGTTGGCTTGGTCGTAGTCATCGCAAAGATCGACCAAGTGAACCGGTCCAGAAACAGACTCGCTAAGCTTGATCATGACGGAGCGGTCGTTGATCTTAGTCACTCTGCCGGGGAGGGCCACGTTCTTCTTGAGGGATTCCCAAGTGACCTCGGTAGAGCCGGTGGATGATCGAGCTGACAGGTCCAGATGTCCCTTCTCAGCATCAACCGAGATCACACGAACCTTGAGAGCAGAGCCAATGGGGAAGTGCTTCTCGAGATTGCCAGCGTGAGATAGGTCGTCAGAAACGTCCATGATACCGATTCTGCCGCGGACAGTGGGTGAGATGTTGACCCACAAGCAGTTCTTGCCGTGGTTGTTGACAAAGGCGACGTGGGAAGAGCCAACCTTGATCGTGTCGTAGGAAAGAAGTTCAACTTCCTCGGTCTCTAGGTCGCCCTTCTTGGCGGAGAATTCGATGACGGAGTGTGTGGAGCGATGAGAGAAAGGCAGGAAGCGGTAGTTCTTGGAGTCGTGAATGCCGATAGCACGCACGCGGATGATCTCGTTCGCCTTGACCTTCTGTAGGGGGTTCTTGCGGTTGGTGATGTCCTCCCACTTGTCGAAGAACTGTGAAACGTCGATGCGGCCCTGAATGTTGTCGGCAACCCTGACGTTCAGCTGCGTGTTCTTGACGGACATGACCTGGGCATTGAGAATAGTGCCGAGTGCGACATCGTCGACTGTCTTGATGCTGTCGTCGACAGAGTTCACGGCGGTCTCTGATACGGTGGGAGCAGGCTCATCCGCCGAGGCTGGCGCAGCAATGATGCGGTTCTGCTCAGGGTTGGAAGACACAATCTTAACCTCGATACTCTGGTGCTTGCGCATGCCGAATGCCTCCTTGTCTTGCACATCCTTTGGCAACTTGCTCTTGGGGAGGATGGCGGTGACATTGCCACCAAACTGAACGTAAACAGCGTGAGGGCCAATCTCCCGGACGTAGGCGGGCGCAACGGCACCGGGAGTCGCATCCTCGACGCTTGTCAGAAGTTTGCCGTTCTTACTGGCTTCAATGAAGCTGGGCTTCTGGGTAAGGATGACAGCACGTCTGAGCTCGTTCTTGTCCAAGACCATGAGATCCGTGAGAGTGTTGCCGACATTGATGCGCTTGAGAGCGGCCTGAGTCTTGCTAGCAGACTTATCCGAGAGGTGGCCAGTGCGGATGATGGCTTTGAGACCACTCTCCTCAAGATCAACGTAGACCTCATCTTCCGTCTTCTGACTGACCTTGGCAGAGACGATGTCGCCAACCTTTAGTGCCTTGAGCGCGGCTTGCTTGTCGAGACCGAAAGCCGAAGGGTCCTTGCATGAAACAATCATCCTGCGGTCCTCGGGGGTCACGCTGAGGACGTGAACACTGACAACCTGGCCGGTACGGAAGTGATCTCTAGGGTCCTTGATGTAGGCCTCGCTCATCTGTGACACTGGCAGGAATCCTCTGACACCGCCAAAGAACTCGAGCTGGGCACCGGCAGAGCCGATCTCAGTGATTGTTCCCGGAGTTTGCAGACCAACCTCGACCTCCTCGAGGTTCTTGATGATTGGCGCATCTGAGTTGACCAAAGTCTTCTTCAAGGTAAGGCGGAGCTGGCGCTTTCGCGGACGCACCGAGAGCACTCTTGCCTTGACGGTGGCCCCCTCTCTGAACTTCTTCTCGGGGTGCTGGAGCTTGACATCGGCGAAATGTGATTCATGTACGTAACCACTGATGCCCTCGGCCAGCTTCACGATCAAGCCACTGATGCCGTTCTCGCCGATAATGACCTTTTCGATCTTTCCAGAAACGACTTCTCCAACGGGAACATCCTCGAGGCGGATGAAGGGCTGGTCAAGGATGGTCTGCTCAAATGACAGCAGGAACATGGCATCCAGAGGGCTGTAGCCGACGACTCTTCCGCGGTGTGTTGAGCCAACCTTGTGAGGGCCACTGCCTTCGTACAGTGCGTCGACTTTGCCGTCCTTCACGCGAGAAATGTGAACAAAACCGGAGATACCAGGAACGCCAGTGTCAACGTAGAGACCGATCTCAGGCTCGACATGGCGCACAGTACACTCCTCCACAAATGAAGCGATGGGGAGCAGGTCAAGAGGAGCCTTGGCTCTGCTGCCTTTGCCGGATGACTTGGGCTGCAAAGAGACGATGTGCGGCAGCAGAGACATACCGAGCTTGGGCTCTCGCGCAGCCGGGAAGTTGCAAATGATTCTCGCCTTGACACGGCTGCCTACTTTGTACTTGGCTTCCAAGTCGACACCATCGGGACCAACACCTGAGTGAATCAAATCCGCGGTAACCGGCAAGTGGCCAAGCAGCTTTCCCTGCAGACCTCTGCTGGTCACCTCGGTGAGCAAAACGTCGGCCAAGGAACCAGGCAAGAAGGAGTTGATTGTCGGAGCGCTCGACGCCACGAGGGAGGTGTTGCCCAGCTTCAGAGGATCAGTCGACAGCTGGACAATGATGCCTGTCACGGCCTTCACGACGCAGAGACAGACGGCGCCTGGTCGCAAGCTGGCCTCATCCATGTCGGGGCCGACTTCCTTCTTGGCTAGGAAACCCTTCAAATCGCCCTCAATACCCAAGTCCATCTCGTAACCGTGATCCTGGACGCTGGTGACTGACGCCATGAGGGTTGTGTATCCGACCACCTCGTCACTGGAAATGCCAGTGTTGGCGTCGGCAGGCCGGAGGGAAAGTTCGATGCGGCGCTTAGGCTTGCCGGTGCCAGACTCGTCCGCGGTCGACAGAACATGTGCGCGAACGTACTGGCCGACCTTGAACATGGACTTGAGATCAATGCCCTCGTCATCTTCGTCCTCCTCCTCGTCTTCGCTTTCGTCGGCGGCGTCTTTCTCGAGCTTGTTATTGATCGTGTCCGAGATCGCAGCGATCGAGACAGTTCCTGTGAGGTTGTTTGGCAGCGCAATCGTTAGTTGGACCGGGTCGATGTGGCTGATCTGACCAAGCACCAAAGAGCCCTTCACCAATCGCTTTTTTACTGTGTTAGTTACGTTTGCTCCAATGGAGGCAGGAACGCTATACCTTGAAGTTGAGACCCTCAATCTTGACTGCATCCTCATCTCTTGCAGGCTTCGTATCCTTGGTATCCTTTGCTTTCCTCCTCTTCTCCTTCTTTGCCTTTCCCTTCACATTCGTGTCGAATAATTCGGCCTCTTCCTTTGCGGCATCTGCCTTTGCTTCCATGGTAATCTGCTTTTGCTCGAGGGGCGTAAGAACGCTGCCGCCTCCACGGGGGAACAAAGGCTCGTCGTCCTTGAGCAGCGCTGAGACTGCGGGAGCCCGGGGCGTAGGAGCATCTTCAGTCGTCTTCTTGTCTTTCTTGTCTTTGCTAGGCGTATCGCGCTTCGAGGGCCGGGACACCTTGGAGGCCTTTGCCGCTTTTGATGGAGGAGTACCCCCGGGGGCATCCTTTCGCTTGAGAGAGCTCATGGTTGTGATTGTGCCCGAAAGTCAGTTGCAATTGCTTGCAACAGTCCTGGACTCGATATTGAGATCGGAGAGGAAGAAAAAAAAAAGGACCAGGGACCTTTCTTGCGACTAGGTACTCCACTCAAAACATTTTTTTCGCCTTTGGGCGCGGGATGCAAAGCGATAAGAGATAACGATAAGACTTGATGCTTATCGGGCCCTCCACCCAAAAGCGGGCAACTGCAGGTGGGCGCTGGGGGAAATGGTCATGAATGAAAGCCGAGGTGGCGGCCACCAGCGGGACTAAGGTACCTTATCTAATCAGCAGGGTGTCATTTGGAGGGGCTGGCCGCCTGCACCCGCCGCCAGACCACCACCCGACCCAAAGTACTGTAAAAAGTACCTTAGTAACTTAGGTAGCGCCAGGTTGCGCCTGGACGTAGATCCCAGGTCGCCCGCCAAACGTGGGCGCCACCATCCCAGGCAACTCATTCAACAACAACGGCCAGTTGCTGTCATTTCCTACCAGCCTCCAACACTGACTTCTCAAAACGAATATGCGGCAGATTGACTTTCAACCTGCTCGCCCGAAATTCCCCCACGACTGAACCTTTCCTCCGCCATGTCTCCTCGAAAGCGCCAGCGTACCACTCCATCTGCGCCGAGCTCATCGAGTCCACCGCCTGCGGCAATTGCCCCTGCGATCCCAACGTCGGCTACGTCACAGGTCACGGCCGTCTCAGAACCCGCGAACCGCCCGGCGCGAGAAATGCCTCTGATGAGGGACAGAAGCGGCAGCGAGACGAAGAACACACCACAGAACTCACAGAAACAGGTAGATTCTCTATTACAGTGCACTGTAGGTTATTGGGGCGCAAACACTAAATTCAAGATGCAGGTCCGCAAGGCGCGCAGTTGGTACGGCTCTTGGCCACGCGTCCCAAAGACTTCCGCATCGACTCAACTGGCACGCGAAACCATTTTCGGAGGCACTTCCAAGCCCTCCAGTATCCCCGATTTTCGAAGATTTGATACCAAAAAGAGCATTGACCCGGCAAGTTTCGACGGCCCGGCCGATTCATCAGCATCATTACCACAGATACCTGAGGACGGTGCTGCGACGCCGGAAGGAGACGCAACGGTCAAGAAGGACGGCGTTGATGCTAAAGCGCAGGCTCCATCGACGGAGACTAGTAAAGCAGTAGACGGAACACCAGCGAAAGTCGACGATACGAGCAAGACGATAGAAGAGCCGCAAGCGCAAGGCGTCGAGCCACCAGCTACAGCATCAGGCTGGTTTGGGTGGCTAGCACGGGCCCCAGTGACAGAAACACAGTCGTTCACGCCCGTCGAAGAGACACCAAAAGAGGCAGATCCTGTACCAGAGCCAGAGCCTGAACCCCAGCCAGCACCATCAGCCGAGCCACAAGCCCCTGAGGCTGCCGTCGAAAACGCAGGGCCGAACCCGCCCTCATCGACAAACTCTTGGTTCGGCTTCTGGTACTCGAACGCTCCTGCGACAGAGAACCCTCCAAACTCAGATACCCCGAAGCCCACCGAAAGCACCGAGATACCAAAGGCACCCGAGGAGCCGGTGAAGCAGCCCGAAGACGTGACTATGGAGGACGCACCACCACCGAAGCCAGAGCCTGCCAAGACACCATCAGCCGGTTCTACTTGGGCATTCTGGTCTAGAGACACTCGTCCCAAAGCCGAGGGAAGTAAACACCAGACAGCGCAGCCAGAATCAGGGGAGCTTGCGGTCATTGGCCAGGGATCAGAAGCGCACCCAGAGCATACGGGAATCAGTGTCGAACAATCACAATCAGACCAAGCAATGAAAGATGGGAAGAATACCAAGTCTCCCAAAGATGCAAGGTCGTCCAAAAGTACCAAGGCGGGTACCGCGTCAGCACCATCAACGCTTGGAAGGAAGAGTAAGAGAAACCGTCCTCAGTCGATGGACCTAGATATACCGTCTAGACCGGGGACACCCAATCGGCCGGAATCAGTGGCCTCATCGAAGGCTTCCTTGGCGGAAACGACACCCAAAGAACCACCCCTGAAACCAGGCACACCAAAGGCCAGCCCAAGCCAAGAAACACTTTCGAAAGCGACACCTCCGAACCTGCTCTTGCCCTCGTTTGGGAGTACCTATCAGATGAAAGACAACCCATCCATCATCAAACAAATCACCTCTTTGTTGCTTCGCACTCAGCAGCCCCCGGCGAATCACGTTTATAAGGTAAAAGAAACGCCAAAGATTAAGAAAGCTATCGCGATTGGTGTACACGGACTTTTCCCGGCGATGTATTTGAGACCCATGGTCGGCCAACCGACAGGAACATCATTACGCTTCGCAAACCTCGGCGCTGAAGCCATCAGGAGATGGACCGATGCCCACGGGTGTCCCGACTGCGAAATTGAAAAGGTCGCTTTGGAGGGTGACGGGAAGATTGCGGACAGAGTAGACAACCTGTGGAAGCTTCTGCTTAACTGGATTGAGCATATTCGCAACGCTGATCTAATCCTGGTCGCCAGTCACTCTCAAGGTGTGCCTGTTGGAGTCATGCTGCTGGCGAAGTTGATAGATCTGGGCATCATAACAAATGCCAAAATCGGCGTTTGCGCAATGGGTTAGTCGTTGAAAGCATCTACCAGACACCCCGATCTACAACTGACAATTGACGTGCGCAGCCGGAGTCTCGTTGGGTCCGTTCCCAGATTACAAGTCGAGTATGGGAATTCTTATGGGAGCCGCCAACGAGTTGTGGGAATTTTCAAATCCAGACAGCGAAATTTCCAAGAGATACGAGCACTCGCTAAAAGAAGTCCTCAAGTACGGCGCGAGAATCACATATATCGGCAGCATTGACGACCAGCTCGTGCCGATGGAGTCAGCCATTTACTCGCCAGCATCTCACCCTTACATCTACCGCGCTGTATTCATCGACGGTCGCATCCACGCGCCAGACTTGTGAGTGAATTTGCCGCAACCTGACGTTTATACACACCACTAATACAATCATCCAGCATCGCCCACCTAGTAGGCTTCGCCCTCAAACTCCGCAACCTGGGCGTCTCAGACCACGGACTGATAAGAGAACTCTCCACGCCGCTCGCAGGCAGCCTCTACTCGGGCGAAGGCCACTCGCGCCTCTACTACGACGACCAAGTCTACGACCTCGCGCTCACCCACGCCCTCGAGACGTCCGACGTCCGCCCCAACGTGTCCGCTACCGTCGCCCACCGCCGCGACTCGACGGGTGCCGGAGCCGGAGCCTCTGTCGCGAATCCGAACCCGTATCACCTGCCGTGGATCATGCGCGGCCTGCTGGAGGAGGACTTTGTCCGTACAGAGCTGTCATCTGAGACGGAGGAGCTGCTGCGGCAATTTGATGACTGGAAGCCTGTTACGAAGGCGCTCAAGGATGTAAAGTATCGGCTTGAGGCGATTCGATCAAAGCTTTGAGGACGATGGCGTTACTTCACCAAACAACTTGAGACCGGGATAGAATCCCTGGTCTCAACACCATCGCCCATTTATCCTTTCCTTCTTCTTTGTCTTTTTTTCCGAGAGAGATTGAGCGGCTAAAGCCTGATGACATGAACTGACCGGCGTCATTTGTCCTGCTATCAGGGAGGGAAGACGAATACCTAGACTAAACATACACTTATAACTATTACACGATGCTTGGGCGTCTTTACAATACGACGACACAAGACAGATATCACAATGTACACAAATTCAATACGCTATTCACACGTGTTCTACATGCTATGGACTTCGTAACTTGCCACTTTAGTAAACACTCAAGATGACATTTATTTCCCTTCGATGTCTGGTTGTTCAAAAGAAAAAAAAGGGGGATGTTTTTTCTACACTGCTGCTGAGAGAAAGAACACAAAATGTGTCTTTGGGAGGAAAGCTCTCCCTTTTTTTGTTTCAATAATTGCCCAGCCAGCCATTAAATACTTTTACACTTCACCTCAACTCGTCGAGTCTCCTTCTTGTCTCTTTTCTCTTCTATGATACATTCATGGCCCTTTTTGTGCCATCTCTCTATCCCAACACATCCCACATTCGCTACAATCTATCGAGACAAACATCCATAGCCGAGCCAGCTTTCCCATGACTTCGCAATCTGCTGAACGAGCTTTTGAAGAAAGGTCACTTCGGACCGCTTACCGCTTCCCCAGCTGCCAGTCGTAAATCGTATTCTGAATCGCCTCCCACTCGATAGTATGCGTACTAACACCATGCGCCTGCGCCTCCTGCAACACAACCGTGGGTGCCCCGCTGCCCTGACCGGGGTTCTCGACCAGCCCGCCAACAACAATACGCGCCACGCGTCGGAGGTCCTCGACCGTCAACGCCTCAATCTTGCGACACATGTCCGTGACGGGGATCTTGCGCCCGTGAACCTGCACCTGTCTGCCGAGATCCTCGAGCTCCACCATACGGCTCTCGAGGTTCATGAGCAGGCTCGAACGGAGCTGATTCTTGGCGCGGTTGACCTCGGCCGCCTTCAGCGCTGAGAAGCCCGTGTCGAGGGTGAGGGCGCGGAGCTCGCGGCACATTACGTCGAGCATGCTCGCCGTACGGCCGGGGATGCAGCTGGCGGAGATGCCAAAGAGGCCGGAGTCGGTGTAGGAGTGGTTGAAGGCGACACAGGATTCCACCCAGCCGTGCTGATTGAGGACGTTTGTGTAGAGGCGGGAGTACATTCCCTTTCCGGGGCCGCCAGCGGAGAAGGAGCCGCCGCCGCCGAGGAGGGTTTGCAGGGTCGCGAGGGCGTAGATGTCGTCCGAGGAGATGGGGAGGCCCTCAAAGGCAAGGTGGATGTGGGTGAAGGTCGGGAGGTTCGGGTTCAGGGACGGGGGCTGGGGCGGAAGAGAGAGGAAACCGCCGGTGTAGTGGGCTGGTGAGTTAATGCCGTAGAGCTGCGATGCGCTACCGCTCTGGACAGAGGCGTTGGTTGGTGCTGAAGTGGAGAGGTTCTTAAAGAAGGGGACTTTGGAGAGGAGTTTCGAGGGTTGTTGGACGGGGGAGGAAGAGGCGGAGGCAGATGAGGACGCGTCCGTGGATTCTGAGGCCGCGGAGCCGATGGAGGTTTCTGAGCCTGTCCTTGAGAGTGTGGGCTCTTGGTAAGAGGGCTGCATGTCGCCAAAGTAGTGCTCCGCCAGCTTGACTGCCTCCGTGTGCTCGACACCCGCAAACGCAACGACAATGCGCTCGGGACGGTAGAATAAATCTCTGTAGCGCTTGATCGTCTCCCTCGAGATGCTGCCGAGACGCTCCTCCGGGCACAGCAGGGGGTTGCCGAGGGTGTTGTCCTTGAAGGCAGCCGTGTGAACGAGTTCGGGCAGAATAAGCTCCGGCTTGCTCCAAATCTCCTTGATCTCGTACTCAGCGGTGCCAAGTTGTTCCAGGACCTCGTCCTCGGTGAGCTTCGGGTCGCGGATTGTCTCGGCGAGCAGCCCAATCGTCGTCGGCACGGCGCCATTGAACGTTGCCGCCTGATACATCATGCTCTCCCTCGAGCTCGCGCACTGAATGTTGCCGCCGAGGGCCTCGACCGACTCGAGCATGTCGTCTGCACTGCGGCTGCCCGTTGACTTGAAGGCCAACCTATCCATGATGTGACTGACGCCCCGCAGGCCGGCATCCTCGTACCTGGAGCCGGCATCAACATAGACACCTACGCCGGAGAAGGAGCCTGGTAGCGCTTCAGACGCAACGCGCAGGCCGTTTGGTAGAGTTGTGATGGCGTCGAGATCTGTCGGCTCTTTTGGGATCGCTTCGATGATCGTCGCGAGTCCCCGGCGGGAGGAGGGCGTAGAGGGAGAGGGGCGGAAGCTTGTAGTAAGACGGGGGGTTGTGGAAGCGACCGCGCGCCGCGGGAGGCGCGTTGCCAATGATCGAAGCATCGTGTGTGAGGTCTGTGACGTGTACTCCGGGTGATCGGTCGGCTTATGTGCGATCAATGGTGGTCCCTAGCGTCCGTTGGTTGATGATGCACGATGGCGAGGCTATGGAAAAGTTCGCTGCTCACGGGAGTTGACGCATCCAATTCTTGGTGCTCCTTATCGCCTTATCGTACCGGTACCCTCAGTCTTCCATTTGTGGGGCACCGTTCTCAGCCAATCAGATTGCAGGCGATGCATCCAGCCAGGAGACGTCATTTGGGAGCCGCGCCGCTCGTATTCCGCGATCTGCGTCTCATGGTTCGGAGATCCTGTGAGCATCTGGCAAAACACAGTCCAGTCCACTGGAAAAGATTTGCTCAAGTTGAATTGCAATCATTTTGAGGTTTGTATTCTAGTCGCACACGGTAACGTCTCGTATGAATGAGGCGAGCATCAAACGCTCGCCAACTCTGTATTAGAAGAATGCTATGAATCCATCGCCTGGCTTGCGAATCTCCCTGATTCATGTAGAAGCCGCTGTCATAACTGAAGGAGACAATGCCAGCCCTTTCATTGAGCCCACCTCCTTAAACCTGGTCAAGAAGTAAGACCATAGCTCTGTTTCGCTGTGGCTAGCATAAAGCGATCCACAATGCATTCAAACGCCATACACCGTTCCACGCCTTCGCTCATGCAACTTATTCACTCAATACTCCGCAACGGAAAACGCATTTCTTCTCTCCCTCATTCGCCGCCTTCGAAGTTGGCGCATACGTTTCTGTGAGGGTGCGTCACTCTATGCTTGGGGGACAAAACTTGACCTGTGCTTCAGGCCGGTAGTTCGGTCTCTCCCTGTCATGCCTCTGCGTAAACGTCTGTACCGGCTCTACCGGTCAACTTCCATCTCGGCGGCAGCATCAAGGCTTCGCATTCCGCTGGACGCCTCGGCAGCACGACGCCCTGCACTACCGTCAAAGACCCATGGCCCAGCATCGTTACGCGGGGTAATAGGACCTTCAGTAGCGTTGACCAAGTGGTTACCAATGGGCGAAGGAGTGCGGGTATCTCGACCGCTTCGCGGTGCAGTTGTCTGGGCTAGGCCGACTGCTGGGATCGGAACAGGTGGGATGGATGTATGGGGTGCGACAGTCCTTGGCGCCGCTTCTGGAGCTTCGGCGACAGTTCTGGCGCGGTCCAAGGCCACTGTGAAGTCGTCCATGGCATCATCATCAGTGCCGATTTCAGGGAGCTGAGGTCTTGAGCTGACCACGGCTGCAGGAGCTGCCAAGGGCGCGGTCGGGACAGCCGCAGCAGCCTCCTTTTCCTCCTGCTTCTGTTGTTTTTGTTCGGGCTCCTCATCTTCTTCCATCTGCTCCCAATCCTCCTCAGGATCCTCAATATCCGCTTCGAGGTCGGCGGCCATGCGGCAGTTTGGACAGACAAAGATGGGGTATTGGGGAGAATTCAGTAGAGACCGGATACACTTGAAATGCCAGGTATGCGAGCAAGGCGCCACGAACAAGCACTGGCACGGCTAGAAGACAATTAGCTTTCTTGCCCGCAAGGAATGTGGGGGTCCGTTCAGGCGGCGGCTACATACCGCGATAGAGTTGAGACAAATTGAGCAGTCCTGCGTCGAGGAATTCGCCGAGTTTGCTGCGGTCATGTTCCGCAAGCGCTTGTGCGTCGCCATGCTGCATGATGTAAGCGCAAGTACGGAGACGGTCAAAATCGGCCCAACTTACTTGAACGTGTTCAACTTGTTCTGCCAGCCTCTGTTCAGCTCCAGTCTCATTTTGACGCAGCGGAAGATCATTTCCTCGCCGCCTTTAAAGTCTATGCCGAGTTGCACAATGTCGCCGTCGTTGACGGGAAATGGCTTGGATTCCGTTCCTGGCGGGCTGAGTCGAATGTGGTTGAGGAAGGTGCCGGACGAGCTCTTGACATCCTTGATGTACCATTTACCTTCGTCATACCAAAATTCGCAATGACGGCGACTGACAACTTTGCTCTTGAAACCCACGGGCGCGGCCGAAGGGGTGTTGTTGGGGATGCTGGGCTGGTTATCTCGCTCCGAGTAGCGGCCGACCCTAATGATATCGCCGTTCGAGGGCAACGTCCTCGAGACTGGAGGGAAGGTCAGGCTTGGACGTGTCGCGCGGGGGTCATAGTAGGCAGAAAATCGGATTGAAGGTAGATTTTCGGGCGCGGGGGAGGCGGCGACAGGGGCGTCGCCCGTGGTAGAGGCGCGTGCTCTCGTCATGTTCGCGGCTTCAGCGTCGTTGGTTGACTGCGGCTGCTGGTCAGATTGCTGCCTTATATGGCTGCTGGTGCTGCCGCTGGCAATGACGTCGTCGAGAATAGAGGGGAGCGCATCCACTGGCGGGCGCTCGACGGCGGGCGAAGAGGGCGTGGTGGAAGCCTTGTTGGCGGAGGAAGTTGACGATGATGGTGACTCCTGTAGTGAGGCGACGAGCGAGAGAGGGTTCAGATGGGCGTCGGTGTCGGAGCGACGAGGGGTTGAAGTAGGCGAATAGCTGAGAGAACGCTGTAGACCAGGGGTTGGGCGACTAGAACCGGGACGACTATTGTGGTGGTTTTGATTTTGAGTTTGAGTTTGGGTCTGAGAGTGCGGGCTGGTGCCGGTGTTGTGGTGAAAGTGTGAGTGGGCGGCGACGTGGGAATGCGAGTTTGATGTTGGAGAGTTGGAGCCCTGGCTACTATGTTCTCGGGACAAAATATGATTTTGAGTGTAGCTGCGGAGATAACTGAGGCCTCTCAGGCGACTGGATCGTGTTGAGGGTGAAGCGGGATTGGTGACAGACGTCGGCACGGGGCCCACGGTCGGTGGCGATGCAACTGGTTGTGTAAACATTTGCGCCTCGAGGGGGGGAGGGGAGCCTGGGAGGAAAAGAAGAATGGGTGGTGTTTGTTAGGCTGGACTGTTTTTGGCGGTGGGTGCAATAAGCAGTAGTGGCCGTCGCAGGGTGAGAATCCGTCTGGAAATCAGGCGGTAGTGTCGCAATGGTGCCGGCTCTCGACTCGTGGGTTTCGGCTGGCGGTCTGGCTGACTAGCTGGCTGAATCACTGGGCGTCGGCGGACTTGTCTGAGTGACCTATTTTGCTTGGTATTTTCGTTTTTCCCTGTCCCTTGGAGAATGGGATTGTGGACTGCCTTGTTGGGGGTGTCTCTCTTGGGGTGAAAGTAGAGAGTAAGGGCGTCAAAGAGGCTACGGGAAGAATGTGATGAAGGGGTGGAATAAGAGAGAGAGAGAGAAGAGAGAGAGAGAGGTAAGGGAGAGGGAGTGGAGGAAGTCTAGACGGCTTGTGTTTGCTTGGAATGCCACTGGATCCTGTCTAGAAAAGCAAGCTACGGTGCTTTCCCCTACTCCGTACTCTGTATTCCGAGTTCCTGTCTGTCAAGACGTGCAACAGCGAGGCAAGGCGAGGTTGGACGAGGGACCAAAGGGACGAAAAGGACCAAGGAGGAATTGTCAAGCCGGGAGGGAGATGGGAGGTAGGGTCTGAGAGTAAGATGAGTGAGATGAATGGTATTATGGACCAAGAAAAGCAGATTACGTCCGGGAACAGAAAAATGACCTGGGGAAGACGGTTTTTTTAGTCTGGACGACAAGCGGCAGGCCTTGGAAAGTTGGACCTGGGAGAAAGTTGCAAGTGAAGGATGCTGAATGTCTGTGGTGCTCGGCTGGATTGGGGAAAGGGTCAGTATTTCGGCTTTGGACCCAAGAAGGACGGGCGTCGACTTCTTCTTGTTGCTCGTCGTAATCGTCAGTGTCAGTCCCAGTTGGGTCAAGTGGCTAAGGAAGAGCCCGGACAGCCAGATGGACTAGGCGTGAAAGCAGTGCGCCGCGGCCGTGGATGGTGAGGTTGGACGAAAGAAAAAGGCCAGGCCAAAGAAAAAGTACTTGTGGTGGTCCTGGGTGGAAGTACCTTGATAGGGTACAATGGAGGGCGGGAGACACGAGACGACTAGTTTGGGTGTATCCGTCCTGTAAGGTAAGGCAGGTCAGGTAGACTCTACGGATAGAGTGCTTCGTACAGAGGACCGTACCTTAGGTGGGACGCAGCTAAAGAAGAGCAGAATCGGTCTCGATGCTGGGCTGGCCATGAAGCAAGGGCCTCAAGGACAGGGCAGCTGGGCAGTGGGAACTGGAACTGGTACCAAGTGTAATCGTCCAGGTCAGGTACTTGGATGTAAAGAGAACAAGTCGGGGTCCAGCCCAGTCGGTCAGGTTTTCGTTGGCGCGCGTGCCACTGTTTTTTTTTTTTTTTTCCTCTCTCACCTCCTCCTATCTGCCTCTACTTGAAGGGTGAGGGGGGGCGTTTATGGGGATAATGACGACGTCTGGGCTTTTGGCAAGCAACAGCAAGAGGAGACACACGACCAGGGCGAGGGCTGTATTGGTGTGGCAGTTGCCGTACGGTAGGGGTCGAGCCTTGAGATGTGCGTGTGTTCTCGTCTTTCTGGGCCGGGAATGGCAGGGGACGTTGTTGTTGCGGCGTTGCCTTTGGTTTAGGGCCGGACAGAAGACTGGCTAGAGGAGTGAGGGGACGTAAAGGCGAGCCAGGGCCAGGGGTGCAATGGAAAGGATCCATTGCGCCTGGATATGCTTGCTGCAAGCGTGCGTGTGGGTTGGCTGGGATATCCAGTGGATGCGGACGGGTACGCAGTACATAGTAGTGTACGTAGGTACGCTATTATTCGTGCCTGAGAATAAAGATGGACGTCGGTGTGGCATACATGGAGTTGCTCATGGGAAGAAATGCCGTAACCGACGACGTCGATGATGTCTAATGATGATACAGCAATGAGGCCGCGTTGCTGCCAGTTCATGACCCGGTGTCTCTCTCCCGCCGGTTGAGTGTTCAAGTTGGAACAGATCAAAAACCACACATGGACGCTGCTACCGGAGGGATGGGTGTCGAAAGAGCCGTCTCGGATTCTGCATGCGCCTTGAGGCGGGCAGTCAAGTCAATCTTTGAAGCGGGAGATGCGCGACTGCCATGTACAGAATGGTCAGAAGAAGCAACGAGAACGGCGGAGCACAGACACATGGCAGGGTCATTTGGGTTGGGGGTCTCAGTGTCAAGCCCAGCGGCAGCCAGCTCCGAGAAGCTGGATCAAAGCTGGATCAAAGTCTCGTCATCGGAGAGGAACAAGATGGTCGGAGAAGATACACCGCATGCGTCGCCAGCCATCTGGAAGGTTGAGTATCGGTAAGGTAAGGTACCTTAGAGAGAGATGGACGTTGAGGCATTTGGAGTTGGGTGGAATGCTTGAATGGAAGAGACGGAAGGAAGATTGACGAAGCATCGGAGATACACCGGCCCCATCGGTGAAGGACGACGGGAAGATCTGGGAATCTGAGATGGAGTGAGGTGGTGGAAAGTCCGCCCAAGCGTACCTGCCTTCACTTACCTTACGCAGTCGGTAGCCTGCTGGCACGATACGCACTTGCACTTTCTTCATCCCAAGTTGCATTTTGGCTTTCTCGATCGTCGAACACCGGGGCCACTCAGAGTTGAAAAAGGCAGGTGCGCTGTCTCGCCTTCTTTCCGCGGAAGCACGGGGCTGCAACACGAGACGAGAGACACTTTGGCACTCAATGGATGGTGCTGTCCATAAGGCACTAGGTACTGTGTAATCCAGTCGGGCAGGTACCACCAGTATGAAGGCAGGAAGGAGCACAGGAGGTGTCTGCATCTGCGGGATGGCCAATGCTTCAGATCCCGGGAAGTGAGGCAGGCACGATCATCTCAAAAGAGCATCGGCGACCAGAGTGCACGGGTTGACACTGGCCAGGATGAATCACCATCTACCTTAGTGTACAATGCCTCTCCCAATTCTCTTCTTACCTCATCGCCGCCCATCAAGATCAGGGCATCTCACGATCTTTCCTCCGAGCTTGTCATCATTTATGGAGACCTCAATGCAAGGCAAACACAATGGCATTTATAATGCTAGGTGATTATGGAGTAAGGTAGAAAGAAGTGTAGGAGTGAGCGAAAAGGGGGGTCGGTAACGTCCGCGTAGTTACTAAGACCGCATTACGACACCTTCCCGCAATGCTCCATGAACACGATCCCCATCGTGACTTGTACCTGCCTTGGTCCAATACGACGGCGACTCCCGCCCATAGCCTAACAGCAACAGTGCTGTTAGGCGTCTTTCCAAGTTTCCCCATCAGTCCCAGACATCAGAGCAGACATCGGCAGAGAAAAGAACGCGCCATGTTATTTCCGGCCTTCCCGTCGCCTACCGTCATCTCTCCACCAAAAAAAAAAAAAAGAGGGAGTGAAAACACCGTCTCCATCAACACCATGTCTATCAACCTTGGAATAACGGCACAACAGGGCCACCACCAGCCTCCTGAACCGCAAAAATGGGATACGACAAGGTCAGCTCAATTTCTTTACCTTGCTTCTAATCGGATTCCTCGCGGCCTAACCCATGGATATCTCCCCCATGGAAGATAGCTGCAGTCTTGGGAAGTTGGGATACCTCATAATCCACTATGCCCACTTCCTTAAACCCCCGCCGCCCACGGCACCACTGCACCGCTGTCACGGACGGGAATGATTTGACATGCAGCCGACCAGTATATCGCCGGCCGATTCGCTGGGTTTCTCTGCAGTCCGCACCTGCGTCCGCAGAGTCTCCAGTGACCTCTCCACCAAGAGCGCCGCGTGAATGGTTTGAGGCCCTTTGGCCTGCTCGTCGTCTTCAAGCTCCAGGCTTCCCATGGTTAGATACGCCGCACGCGAGAGACAATGGCGAACCATATTCTCAGGGGGCTGTTCACGCTAACGCAATCACCAGATTAGCGGCCATCCAGCTCCCTAGCTCCCTGAATTGACCCTTCGACCCTCCGTTGAGGGTTGCGTCCGAAGAGTCCAAGACCATCGACTTTGCCAAGGTTACCTTACCTAACCGAGAAGATCAAGGTACTTTGCTCGTCCTGCACCCCAAGTACCTCCCGTCCTTCGCCCATGATCAAGGGGAGGGAACCTCAGGCCCACCGACTGGCACCGAGGCGTGTGACCGAGAACCCCCGCCACCTCCGTCCGTCACTCTCTTCCTCCCATGCCGTCCCTTCACTTGGGCCGCTATCGTGATTGGGTCCAGGAAATCTTCCCCCGCCGGAAGTCCATCAGAAGGCTGGGAATCACACCTCGCAGGCCCCATTCTGTGGCGCCCTCGTGCACAAGGATCCTACCGTACCCAAGGCAAATCACAACTTCACGACACCATGGCTCACTGCCTGTCTTGATCGATGGTCGTTTCATCAAACACTTTCTCCAACATGGATGAAAGCTGAATGACGGTGTGGGAGTCGAGTCCGCCATATTCAGGAATGCGGTCCCTCTGCCACTGACTCGTCCGGTCCGTCATCCGCTGTCCCGAGCCTCATCCGACTCACCACCACCACAACGCTTGCGACACTGCGAAAACAAAAGCAAACTCTGGGACATTTCCATTCCGTTAAGCCTTACCTCTCAACACCAGATGTCAACCGTCTTGGCGGAACTAGAACCTCAATGAAGAAATTTTCTAGAAGGCCGAGAGCTCATCAGAAACACGGATCCGAACCCGATACTGCCTGCTGAACCAACGAGCGAATTTCCGCTGGGCGCCTCGCCTTGCCTCGCCACCTTGAGTCGGCTTCCTCCTTGTCATGAGGAGGCCTTGCCAAGACTATTCACTGGCGGCACACGCCTCAACTCATGCACCCTCCGATTCTTCTCCGGGGCCGAGCCCGCTGTGGACCCTCATTCCGTCCGTCTTTGCCTATAGCTCGCTCTTTGTGGAAACCTACTCCCAAACGGCTGCTTTCAGCACTGTAAATGTTTTGC